GGACCTTGAGAATAGCATCAGATACTGTAAATTATTCAGGCTATCCTAAATTGTTGTATGTTAGAAGGGAAGGGAAAACACAGGGATGACCTAATTAACCTCTGGGACTCAGTGGGCTCATCTACATGAGACGCTTTACTGCACATTAGACTAATCTAATGCACAGTAAAGCATCACCGTCTACACATGTGCTGGATTTACTGTGCATTAAATTAGTCTAAAGCACTGTTTACTACTACCAACACATGCAGGTACTAGATAAACAGTGCATTAGGTAATGTGCAGTAGCGCACATGTAGAATCTGACCGGGAGCAACTTTACTCCTGGTCAGCCCAAGCAGCAGGGGGTCACTGGCACCCGCGGGAGCCTGGAGTTCCTCTTGGCTGCTACACAGGAGCAGAGTAGGGCAAAAGCAGCCCTGGACTGGGCTGCTCCCATTGGGTGCAAATCTGCTCCCAATAAGGTGCACGTGTAGACACATTCCCAGCCATATCTTAGTGTATCTTATTTTACTGCACAGTAACCTTACTGCTCATTAATTGCACATGTAGATGCACCTACTATTTGCAAATGGGGGTATTTTGCTCTTCAGTGGTATAGTTTAATTTTCCCGGGTTTCTGGATAGAGGCTAAAGCCAGTATTATTTGAGTTTGGCCTATATTACTGCCTAGTAGTACCTGGAAGAAAGGATACACAATGTCATTTAAAAATGACACTCCTATCACCTTTATCTTACCTACCAAGGAAAGTACAAATGTATTCACAAAGCTACGTGTCCAATGTAGAATGTCTTATATTTCTCCAATAATAAATAACCTTAGAATCCTCAACATTAGATCCATAAAATGCTCAAGCATATTATCCAGTCAGGTTATCTGTGTTTTGCATTTGCTTGTGTAATTTCCAGCAAGCTACACAATTAAGATACATGTCCAGATTTTGACAACAGTACCATTTATCTCTGTTTTTGTTGTAGTGGTGATGGGGGTTTTTATTCTTGTTATTATTTCAGCTGTAAATTTTGAAGACAGGTTTGGATTCTGACTCCCCATAAATATTGTGAGAGGAACTGATAGAGGCCTTTTATTTTGGCCCGTTGTTAATACCTAAAACCTTTACCCAAAGCTGAGACTTTTTTCTTTTCTGCTTACATATGTTCATTTTGTTACCACCTTAGCCTCCCAGCCTGGACTCACCTTGTCTACCTGGTTGTGTATACTATGGTACCTAGACTGTAAGCTTTCTAAGGCAGGAACTGTCTTTGTTACAACACCAAGCACTCTGATCCTCCACTGCAGTTACTAGGCATGACTTGTAAGAAAAAAAATGTGTTACACAATGCTTTGCCAAATTGTGAATAATTATAGAGGTGTTTCCTAAATTACCTTCCTTGCAAGTTCACATATGTGCAAACACTCTTT